GGCTGAAGTACAAAGTCCGCAACGCCTTCACCGCCACCCGTATCGACCTAGCCGAGCACAGCTACCCGGTGGAGTCCTTGCAGCGGAAGTATAGACACCTCCGAGGCCTGCCTCTCCAGTCCTTCAAGAAGGTCAAACCTCTCCTTCTGATTGGCAGTGACCACCCACAGCTCATCACTCCAACTGAAGCTGTCCGTCTTGGTCCACCGGGGGTCCCGCCGCTATGCGCACCAGGTTAGGGTGGACACTACAGGGTCCCTCCAGCCTTATAGGTTCCTCTTCGCTGCCACAACAGTGCCTCTTCACGACCGCCATTCCTCCCCAGGTGAGTGAGCTACTCAAACATGTAGAGAAGCTATGGCAGGTAGATGTTGTCCCGGTGCCAGAAGGCAAGGTGGTTACCCGTTCACGAGAAGATAACTATGCAGTTAGCCTGCTAGAGCAGAAGACAGTTCGGTAGACGTCGAGGGCATCCAACGTATGCCACCCCCCTCCTTCGCCGCGAGAACATGCCACACCTTAAAGCTAGCCCTAAGCTGTGTGTTCCCAGTTTGAGAAGTGTGGAGAGAAGGCTCCAGAAAGATCCAGAACGAGCTAAGTCTACCGGGCGGAGATAGAGAAGTTGGTCCAGGCCGGTTCGGTGGTTAAGGTGCCCCCTCTGAGGTTGCTCAAGCAGATGAGTCATGGTAATCCCTCACCACCTTGTTAGCCACAATGGCAAAGATCGCCTTGTGTTTAACTGTTCGTTCCAGTTCCAAGGCCAAGCCCTCAACGAACATCTTCTACCTGGGCCCACCCTGAGCGCATCGCTCCTTGGTGTCCTCCTTCGCTTTCGAGAGCATGCCGTAGCCATCAGTGGGACATTAAAGGTATGTTCCACCAGATTCGCCTTCTTCCCGAAGATCGTTCCCTCCTGCGGTTTGTGTGGCGGGATCTGCACCCCGAGGAACCGGTGGCCGTTTATGAATGGCAGGTCCTCCCCTTCGGTACAACCTGCAGCCCATGCTGTGCAACCTTCGCTCTGCAGCGCCACGCCAGGGACCACACGGAAGGAGATGATCGCTACGTCACTCTGTGGACATGTTCAAGCTCCTGGCCCTCGGGACAGGCTAAGAGCCCTCCTGTCTTCTGCTGGATTTGTCCTTCGCCAGTGGGCCAGTAATGAACCCAGCACCATTGGCCACCTACCTGAAGACCTCAGATCCACAAGTGCAGAACTTTGGCTCACTCAAGACAAATCAGACACCTCTGAGCCAACTCTAGGCCTTAGCTGGCACTTCCCCACGGACACCTTGGGTTACAGACACCGCAAAATCAGTTATGGCGCCCCCACCATGCGGAATATTTATAAGGTTCTCGCAAGCCAATACGACCCACTTGGCTTTATCCTACCGTACACCACCCGAGCCAAGATGCTGGTGAGGCGCCTTTGGGATCAACAGAGGGGATGGGATGACCCGCAGCTTCCGCCAGAACTACTCCAGCAGTGGAAAACCTGGGAAGAGGAATTGCTGTTCCTTGCACAAGTCCTGCTTCCTCGCCCGTATCTCCCAAAGCACATCATGGAGGCAGTTAGTGAGAGAGAGATTCACATATTCTGTGATGCGTCAGAGCAGGCTTATGGCGCGGTGGCCTACATGAGAACAGTGACAGGGGATGGCAGCTCACATCTAGCCTTCCTGATGGCTCGCTCCCGTGTTGCCCCTAAACGCATTCTCTCCATGCCCAGACTTGAGCTGTGTGGTGCCCTCTCCGGAGCTCATCTTTCCCGTCTCCTTAAAAATGAGCTCACTCTGGACATAAAGAGAATAGTGCTGTGGTCTGACTCCACAACTGTACTCACCTGGTTGAGGTCCCAGTCATGCCACTTCAAGGTCTTCGTCGGCACCCGCGTGGCTGAGATCCAGGAATTAACTCACTCGCACACCTGGCGCTATGTGGACTCAGCCCAGAACCCCGCAGATGATATAACCCGGGGGAAGTCCCTTCTCGAGCTGACCAGACCCAATAGATGGAGTCAAGGGCCTCCTTTCCTGCTCCTAGGTCCAGAACAGTGGCCTCCAGAGCCAAGTGGCACCCTGGCTGAGCCTCCAGGCCCATCTGAGCTCCGTAAAGAGACCTTTTGTGGATTCTCTACCACCTTCGACCCCGCCACTTCGAACTTCAGCAAATATGACACCTGGACACAGCTGCTGGAAGCAGCTATTACGCAGTTGCATGGGGCGGCCAAAGGCGGTGGAACTTCATCGGCTTATGACTATGTTCGAGCAGAGATGGATGTCCTGAGAGAAGCTCAACAGGAGAGCTTCCCTGAGGAGTATCGACTCCTTAAGCAGGGGAAATCCATCAGTCGCAGCAGTCGTCTCCTTGCACTATCCCCTGAGTTCGACCACGAGAATGAGGTCATCCGTGTAGGTGGACGTCTTCGCCGCTCTGAAGATCTCGCCTTTACCAGCTCCCATCCTTTAGTTTTGGATCCGACACATCCAGTCACCCGCCTGTTCATCCAGGACGTCGACAGTCGCCTGCGCCATCCAGGGCCAGAGAGGGTCTTCGCGGAGATTCGGCGCACTCATTGGATCCTGAGAGGCCGGGAAGCAGTTAGGCGTTTTCAAAGGACCTGTCTTGAGTGCCGCAGATGGAGAGCCCGACCGACTGTTCCCAAGATGGCGGACCTGCCAGTTGCGCGCCTCCGCCTTTACAAACCTGCCTTTTATTCGACAGGCGTGGACTGTTTTGGACCCTTTGAGGTCAAAATCGGGCGCCGTGTGGAGAAGAGGTGGGGCATCATCTTTAAGTGCCTAACTATCAGAGCGGTCCACCTTGATGTCCTAACCTCCATCGATACAGATGCCTTCCTAATGGCACTTCGACGCTTCATTGCCAGGAGAGGAACTCCAGCTGAGCTGTACTCAGACCAAGGGACCAACTTCCGTGGGGGAGAAAGGGAACTCCAAGCAGCTTTTGCAGCCATGACCTCTGACCTGCAGAAGCTCCTGGCTCCCCATAAGATCGTCTTCCACTTCAATCCACCAGCGGCTCCTCATTTCGGGGGAGTGTGGGAGCGGGAGATTAGGTCTGTCAAGATGGCACTCTACACTACAGTAGGATCCCAACCCCTTCAAGAAGAGGTCCTCCACACGGTCCTTGTGGAGGTGGAGGGCATCTTGAACTCCAAACCACTAGGTTATGTCCCGTCTGACATCAGTGATCCTGATCCAGTGACCCCCAACTGCTTTCTGATGGGGCGGCCTGACGGAGCACTTCCTCAAGTGGCTTATCCCAGAGAAGAGCTCCTGAGTCGCCGGAGGTGGAAGCACTCCCAGGTGCTGGCTGACCACTTCTGGTCTCGATTCATCCGGCTGTACCTTCCAAGCCTGCAGCTTCGGCAGAAATGGCGGTCATCCCCCGCAGATGTCACAGAAGGTTCAGTGGTGATGATCGTAGATCCTCAGCTGCCTCGTGCTTCCTGGCTCGTGGGCTGCATCTCCAAAGTCCACCCCAGTCCCGACGGGCACATCAGGTCTGCTGACATCAAGGTGAAGGACCGGACCTTCACCCGACCTGTGGCGAGGCTGGTGGTACTGCCTGCCCTCCCGGACGAAGACAAAGGACAATCACCGTGACTTTGTTTGTAAAATTGCCTTTTGTTGTGAGCAAATGTACTTCATACATTTGGGGGCGGCTGTACAAAAGGCCCCGTAGTTATGGGTTTATTCTGTTCAGTTGTTAGTTCACCTGTAGTTTTTAGAGTGGCCAGTAGAGGTCACCCCACCGCTTTGTATGAGAGACTATGTCCAGGGAGAGACGTGGGCAAAGCACCTGAGCTTTTCTGCTCCAGATTACTGGCAGAGAATTGGTTATTCTGTGAGAAGTGTGCGTTAATGAGCAACGTAAGTTGGTGATGTGTGAGGATGTGATAATAAGATGTGTTTGGGACTGTAACCAAGGTTAGGGGGGAAATGATTATGTTTCTGTCTGTGCCGCTAGCGGGTGCTAAGCTAAGCTAAGCTAAGCTAACTTTCCTGCCGTGTGGTTGGGCATAGCTGTGTACCTGGTTAGCTCTCTCAGGGGGTCTATGTGTGAGTCGTGGGTAATATATGGCCTATGGTATTAAAGGGGATGTTAGTTTATTTCCCGCCTGTGTTTATGTTGATGTACTCTGGAGATATTGTTGTGAACACTTTAGTAATGTAGTATTTTCTTTCTGTTCCGTTCAGAGACCACACACACACACCATGCCCACGCACCTAAACCTGTATGCAATACCTGCTCCTCTGACAATCCCTGTTACCTTCAACTGTGTGAAGTCAATACAAGAGTCTGCACTATCCTCGGTGTCTTCATTGTCTCCCTTCTGAACATTCATCCGGGCCTTGAGCAGTGTTCTGGCCGACACTCCGGGGAGTGGTAGCTGCAAACCTGAACTAGCACCTTACAGTCCTTCCAGTACAAGCTATCTATCCAACATCCACACTACGACTTGTTAATGTATGCACACACACCTCTCCCAATAGCCTTACCAGAGGCAGCAGTTCGGTCTCCTCGGTGTATGGAATGAGTCTGGAGCTGAATGGTGCACTCTGGGACTTTGTTTGAGAGCCAGGTCTTGGTGAAAATAAGAGCGCAGCATCCTCTAATTTCCCACTGTGTTGTGATGCTGGCTCATAGTTCGTCCAGTTTGTTTTCCAGGGACCTCACATTGCCCAGTAGGAGGCTGGGTAGCGGTGGTTGGCTAGCCTGAGCTTTTAGCCTGGCATGGAGCCCCCGCTGTTGCCTCGCTTAGGTTGCCATCACCAAGTGCACCTGGGACTGGCTGACTAACTAGGGCTCGGTGCTTCGGGGCCTTTCTGGGGGTGGTGGTGGCGGTGTCTGCTGGGGCGAACAATGACTTGAAGGTCCGGTGGAAGGGTAAAGTCCAGAAGATTGTGCGAGTTACCAATGTCCAGTATTAGTAACTCGTGTACTGTCACCCACGGCTTGTTATTTGGGTAACAATGAACAGTCTGAGCTGGAACAATGGAGTCGGTGCAGAAAGTTATGTAGTCTGTGATACACTCAGTAAGCCCATTGATGTCCTCACTGTGAGGCTCACAGAGTGTCTGGCAGTCAGGGCCTTGTAGCCCTAATGCTTCTTCTCACAGTCAGCACATATTGGGGGGTGTGAGGTGAATCAGGTTGTGATCTGACCTACATAGTCGGAGGAGGGAGAAGGAGCTGTATTGTTTCTTGACGTCCATGAGAACAACAACTCTCTCAACCGACATGGCTGAAGGAAAGTTATTAAAACAGACCAAAGTCCAGGTAAAGAAAAAAAGAATAAATAAGAAAAAAGCAAAGCTAAAGAGAAAAAGCAGGAGCAACTGTAACAGGCTGCACGCTGGTTGACAAATGCACATGTTTGGAAATCATAGCATTCTGTTTTTATTTACATTTTACACAGCATTCAAACTAATGGGCATGAAGTGCTTCATAACCAGAGTAACAGTAATGGAAAACAGTACAACACATATATTATTACCTCAACCTACAAGAGGGAAAGAAGGATTACATCACCAGTTAATGATCTGGTAAACATGTTCGTGACTACGAAAAACATTATAAATTGTTTGTGAGTTTAAGAAAACCCTGCAGAACAGCTCTGCCCACACGAGAACAAGAACTGAACCTCTGCTGCTAACTCTTCACAGGTTAACTGTACTTGTGTGCTGTTTAATTTTGTTTGGTATTGTGCTTTTTTTTTACTCTGTAACATTTGCCTAATTTTCTTCAATGTCTAGTATATCTCAGACTCTCACTAACATCACTGTTGGGTATCAGGCATTAGCAGAACGAGTCATGATTTCTACTCTGACAACACTTCCAACCTGTGTGTTTCTTTTCATCAATGGCATCATGTTGTTCACTCTGAGGAGTAAACCTGTGTTTCGTGAGACCTGCCGTTATATTCTTCTGTATAACCTGCTTTTTGCGGACACTGTGCAGCTGGCACAGAGTCAGATTCATTTTCTTCTTGCAGTTCTTAGAATAACAGTGTCATATCCTGTATGTGCTTTTCTTGTCAACTTCACTCATCTCACAGCTGTGATATCTCCTCTCACGCTGGTTGTGATGCCTCTTGAGAGATATGTTGCTGTGTGCTACCCACTGAGACATGCAACCATCATCACCATCAGAAACACAGGGGCAGCTATCACTGTGATTTGGGCCATCAGTTTTTTAAACATTATTATTCATACTCTGTTGTTTTTATCACTATTTGAAGAGCTGGGTGATTTAGAGGTGAAAGGCTTTTGTGGTGACATCGCTATTCTGCTCGGGACAAAGTCTGATCGTTTTGACAAAGCTTTCACTTGTATTGTGGTTGTGGCTGCTGGTGTGGCAGTCATTTTCTCGTACATTGGTGTGATTGTAGCAGCCAGGTCAGCCTCCACAGACAAAGCCTTGGCCTTTAAAGCTCGTAACACACTGCTCTTGAATCTGATGCAGCTGTTCCTCAGCCTCTCCTCAACTATTTACAACCCATTACTCGTGCCTCTTTTAATGATTGTTACAAGGATAGTATTTGTTCGCATTCAGAATGTTTTTTATCTTCTCTTTTTCATCTTACCCAGGTGTCTGACTTCTCTCATTTATGGACTAAGAGATCAGACTATCAGACCTGTCCTCATATATCATCTGTGTTGTCAATTGAAATGCCCAGTGGTAGAAGACAAGGGATGACATGTTTAGCTTTGATGGAGGCCTTTGTTGAGCTGCATATTTGAGAGTTTTTCAAGGCACTGTAAACTGGTGTCCAACATGTATTATTTTGAGCCAAGCTGTACTATTATTTCCCACATTTGAGGGTTTACTTTTTGATGAAATCCTGGCTCCTCCATCTCCTGTTTCTAAAACTGTGTACACACTGGAGTAATTTAAGTTCTCTGTTTGCACATGTTATTATGGAAATGAGTTGTGGAAGGAGAGACTTTACATGAGGTTTAGGGAGACATTCAGAAAAGAGCTTTATTCGAATGGATTATTATTGCATATTACACTGTGAATCAGGCCATCATAAATAGAAAAATTATCATCACAGGTCCAATATTTAGGCTGTTATTAATAAATATTTGTTGTTTTGTCACATTTTCCAGTTTGCTGTTATTTTTTCCGTTGATGTATATTAATTATACAATTTTCCTCAAGACAAATATTATGGGGAAATATCGCCATGTAGTTCCCCGCCTCCCAAAAAACAAGCCACCTGTATTGTGATTTTCATGGCAAAATTTCTGTTTGAGCATTCAGAGGGTTTGGCTAACCACATGGTTATTTAAATGATTCATACCAATTTTAAACATTTTGAACAACAGTAATATAAACATTTTTTGATATTTGATGATTAAAAACCTTAAAATCCTCGTATCCGTACAACTTTAAAATATTTTTGCATCTGTGTGTGTGGAGTGAAGCTGTGGAACAGACTAAGTAAAGATATGAAGTAACGTCCGAGCACGGCACAGTTTAAACAGCAGTTTAAGGAGATGGTTTTTACAGGGTACAGGGACGAGGTGGAGATTTGATCAGGTGTTCTTGTCCAATATTTTCATATGTGTGTGGGTGCACGGGTATGTTGGTGTGGGTATATATATCTTTAGGTTGTGTGGGTTATTGAAAATGTGTATATATATATATATTGTCAAGACATTTTTGTTTTTATATAATTTGATCAGCTTCATGAAATGTGTTTGTCTGTTGTTTAAGCAATCTAAATGTCTATGTGACTTTTCACCTAATAACATGGCAATCGTGTTAATCACTGAACAGCATCCACAGCGAAATGTATTAACTTAGAACTACAAGAAAGAGAAGCACTCTCCCTCATGCCTATCAGATTACAAACTGCATACTATAAGCAACAGTGGCTGAGGTTTTTGCACCAGTGAAAAGGTATTCATTCATCTTGCTCCCTAAAATATAACAGGACAGTAAATTTTGTTTACTACCATCTAACACAACCAGGTTAATCAGCAAGCATCCAATGAGTTTTCTGTTTGATGTTTGTACAGCATTTAATTTTCAGATGTGTGAAAATTAATATACAACTTTTATGTTCCCCTCTGGGGTTCAAGGTATAATTGGCCATTTTTGACTACTTTTGATTTTACCTGTAGCTCAGATTTAAAAACTATTTACTTGAAACGTAAATGGAATTTTTAAGTTAAAAAAATGCACCAGTTTTGCAAACAACAAAGTTATAAACTGTTCACCTAAAAATGCATCCAAGGACGGTTTTTAAAACCATTTCAAACTATTTACAGAACAATTCTGTTTCTGCATCAATAAGAAGCACACAAATTATTGTGCCACTCCAAAAAAAGTTTCTGTTCACTATAAGACAGAGGAGGACAACACAGGCCTGAACCCTGCAGGTCTACACAACAGGAGGTGTATCACTTCTCCTGTTTTCCACCTGGAGACAGTCCGTTCTCACTCCTGAGGTATAACACCCTTACGATTTGTCATGTCCTGCGGCATTAACGAGGAACGCAAAAGGTGACCTTCGGCATTCTTATGGTAGGCGCTGGGTTATGTGTGAAATACAGTCAAATGACGGTGCCGCAGTAAACACGTTCAAGCCATGTATTCCAGCCCTAACCATAACCTTATCCCAGACCTTATTATATTACATTACATAGTGTTTTCCAAAGCAATTTAAGGAAAATGAACAACATGTGTGGGTTGATTCCAAACGGTTCTCATGTTTCCTCATTTTTCCGATCTCATCATTTAGGAACATGTTGGGTGCCTGGAAGCGTAACATGTTGACGATTTGTCACCTAGCGCAAAATATTACGTCTCAGGAGTGAGAATGTGTTGTATTTACAGTGCAGTCAATCAGAATCAGCATACTTTCTAAATCATAATATGTTCCAGATTTAAGAAATAGCACTAATACATACAAATCGCTCATTAATAAATATCAAGGATTAATATAGGTGATTATAAATAAATATCAAGAATGTTGACAGGAATATTACAAAGTAGAAAAGAGTGCGTGCAAAAGGGTGTAATTATTGCAATGTATACAGTGTGTTAGATGGAGGAGTTGTACAGAGGGATGGCCACAGGCAGGAATGATTTCCTGTGTCATTCTGTGGTGCTTCTTGGTAATCTCAATCTCTCACTGAGCGTGCTCCTGTGACTAGCCAGGAGGAATTATCCAACATTGTCTTTATCTTGGACAACATCCGCCTCTCCGACATCGCCTTAAGAGAGACCAGCTCCATCCCCACAACATTACTGGCCTTGCAGATCATTTTATTGAGTCTGTTGGCAATCCTCAACCTGCTCCCCCAGCATGCAACAGCATAGAGAATAGCACTGACCACAACAGACTCATAGAAAATCCTCAGCATTGTCCGTCAGATGTTGAAGGACCTCAGCTGCCTCAGAAAATAGAGCACGACTCTGGCCCTTCCTGTAAAGTGCTGTGGTGTTTTTAATCCCAGTCCAGTTTATTATCTATGTGTACTCTGAGGTACAGTGGCTTGCAAAGTATCGCCCTTTGAACTTTCCCACATTTTGTCACATTACAGCCACAAACATGAATCAGTTTTATTGGAATTTCACGTGAAAGACCAACACACAGTGGTGAACATGTGAGAAGTGGAACCAAAATCATACATGATTCCAAACATTTTTTTACAAATAAATAACTGCAAAGTGTATGTACAGTCATCCACAATGTCCACACTGACCCCCTGGATTGATTTCCTGGTCTTCCTGAAGTCCACGATCAGTTCCTTGGTCTTTGCCACGTTGAGCTGCAGATGATTCTGCTCACACCACGTGACAAAGGAGTCGACCACAGCCCGGTACTCTGTCTCATCATCCCTGCTGATGCATCCAACCACCGCAGAGTCATCAGAAAACTTCTGAAGATGGCAGGTCTCTGTGCAGTGGCTGAAGTCTGTGGTGTAGAGGGTGAAGAGGAAGGGGGAGAGGACAGTCCCCTGTGGTGCTGATCACCTTGTCAGACACACACTGTGGGAGACGTACATATTGTGGTCTTCCTGTCATCCAATCCAGGACACCAAAGAAGCATCGACCTGCATCGCTGTTATCTTATCACCCAGGAGGGTCGGCCAGATGATGTTGAATGCACTTGAAAAGGTAAAAATCATGACCCTCACAGTGCTCGCCGATGATGGCATCCTCAGCTCCAAGGCAGAGCTGGTAAACAAACTGAAGGGGATCCTGCCGGAAAGTAATTAAAACTTCTTCAATCATGCGGTAATCTCTTTTGCGTGACATTAGCTAATTGTTATTTACTAGTTCATCTTAAAACTACCGTTAGATACAGAAATGAAGCCCAACAATCATGTTGTTACAGTCCCGTGGTCACAGCCTCAGATACTTAACTGAGGAGTTTGTCTCCACTCTTCTTCACAGCGTTGCTGAAGTTTGCTCCATTCGTTTACGCACAGCTCTCTGAGCTCTGCACTCTGGACCGCTGCAGCAGCTCCGTCTGCGCTCGCTTCAGCATCCTGCCGATTGGTCCGAGCTTCAGCTGCGGGACACACGGCCTCACTCTGACTCTGGAATACTCTGATGTACGGGGAGTTCACGGTCCACTCGGATCGTCATCCCTCCTCCACGGCGCTCATAGCGAGCCGTTTGCTGCTGTGCACTTTACTCTCGTCTGTTGCTGAAGTCTGCTGCGGCTTTACAAACCTAAGTCATGTTTTCTCCTCTTCTCTTTTAAAGCAGCCATACTTCTTTGGTCTATTTCTATTTGTGCTGTCATTAACTTCAGTGTTTAAGATGCTAACTGAGGCCTGTAGAGTGTGAGATGGAGCGCTTTGATATTTGCACAAATTGACTGCAGCCACACCAACATCCGCCTATGAACAATCCTTCTCACTGTAGAATGACGGACTTTCACATTGTGTGGAAATGATCTCATCGCTCCTCCCAGATTGATGGACAGCACCAAGAATATTGCTGATGTCTTTCATCCTGAGCACTGATAACACATTCTTGAATGCTGACAACATTTCTACTTTTATATAGGTGGCTGCTTTTTACCCTTGCGACAGGCGAGACCTGAGTCTGGAAACTGCCCTGGCAGGCAAAGCTGGGTTTTTCCCTTTTATAAGCATAGGTGCAGGTAATTTGTTGATCTCTTGTGTGAACCTGGAGTTCTAAGCAGCGCTATTTGGCCTTTTTAGCTTTTCTACAACAGCTTGGTGTGGCCTTCTGTTAGTGAGGTAGTCCCCAGATAACGTTCTGCTTGAGTTTTGGCAGAGGTTTAAAGTTATTTGTACCCCAGTAGCAAGAAACTGTGTGGAAACTTGCCGGGGGCAGTTAACTGAAAAACAGGCATGAGGCAAAGTGGGAGGGATATTCCTTCTGAGGTAACCTGCTCAGTGTAAGTAATGTCCCGTTTTAATTTACAGATAGCCAATGGCTGCTGGGCCGACGTCCTTGGATGTCTGTGTCTGCTGCCATGTGTTCTGAGGCTGATTTAATTTGACAGTGAAGAGCTGAGAACTGTTCTGATGGTTGTGGCTGTTTATTTGGTCTATTTGTTAATTATCTCATCGTATCAGCACCCATTAATGTACGGATTGTGTTTTAGTACCGCAGACAGCGAAGGCGCCACGTGGAAGCTGATCCTTTTTCTCACCGCTTTTGCATGTATATAGAATAAAATAGAATACAAATGCTATTTTATTCAATTGTGTATATAGTATTTTATTCTATTCTATTGTGTACAGTTGTGTACAGTATCTTATTGATATCTTATTCCAGTCTTTATTTTTTTCTAATTTTTCTATGTAACTTTGGACTGTCCACGCGTGGGACTAATAAAGGTTATATTATCTTACCGCGGTGACGGGCATTGAAGAGTTTCTATGACACATCGTCAAGTGTGGATTGCCATTTAATGTGTTCGTTTTTAATATATTCCCCTCAGTGCTTGTCTGTCTCCCACCTACAATTGTCTTGTGTGCTCCTGTTACCTGTTTAGAACAGTTGTTTTTGTATTAGGAGTAGCCTTGTGGACTGACTGCATACCTACGGCTCATTCCTACTGCAATGGGTGCCTCCCTCGGGTAACACCATGTTGATGCCTATAGAACTAGTAACAGTGGGCTTGGTTTTTTCACAGGATTATATATAAATAAAAGTGAACTGAGGGGGTCATAGGTTCAGCTGTGAGATGAGGACACGCCCCAGTTTCCAACGATTTTTCCACCTGTTTATTAATAAAGGTGCTTCTGATTTAAAACCTGCTAACATCTCAGAATAAAATGAGTGAACTGACTTTTTCTGCCCAAGCTGCTCCTTTAACAGGGTCCCCTCGTGCTGAAACAGGTGTAGTGTATAACAGTACAGATTTGTTTTTCAGTACTTACAGTGTGAACTGGTTTCTTTGGAGTATCATAAGCAATAAACCAATGTTTCTCAACACAAGTTCAATCAAAATATCATCTCTGAAAGTACAGACACAGGAAACGGGTAAAATAAAGATGGGTTTCCACGGATATACCAACTATTATATTGACTATAGATCATTACAGTACATACAGCGCAGTAGGTAGTTTTACACGTTATCAATCAAACAGGAGCGTATAAATAAATATGTCAGCTTTATGAATGAAAACAAGTTAGTTTGCAGCAGGACGTTTGTGTCTTCATCTGGTAGCAGGAGGAAAATGGAAATGACCTCAGTGCAAATTGTGCATCTGTAAACATCAAAGGAGTCTGATTATTTCTCTTTAGGCCAGTTCAGGTCTGAGTGGAGGAGAGGATGAGAAATTCGGAGGAATCTGAGGAGCTTTCTGTGGCTAAACATTCAGACAATTAAATGAAGGTAAGGAGAGCTTCACCCACAAGTTTCAACTTCAACCTGCTGGAAATCTCTGAGGGAGCTACAACGGTGAAACGAATTACCACGTGTATGAGGAAATATGTTAAAGAGCTCTAGTATTGGGTAATTTCAGTTATCCTTTCTTTTATTCATTAAACTGATCTTGGGTTGGAGTTCTTCATCGAGCTTTCCTTGGATGTAAGAATTTTACACCAATATTGTGGATCTCCTACTGGTCATCCAGGGGTACTGCAGTTTGTCTGTGGCGAAATGATGCAACAGGAAGCTGTTCATCTGTTTGCCACACTAGAAAGAAGTAATCGTGACTGTCACTGGAAGACATTAAACACTGTATATCAAATTATGGCCCACTAGGCCAGAACCAACCCACCGACTGCTCCAGGACTTTAGTCAAATGCGTGGCTGACTGCGGTGATGCCAGCATTAACTTTGCATGGAAAATTTCAAGTACTTCTGCATGATGTTTGACTCATAAAGAATAAATATCAACGTTTTCTAGTTCAAAAATACTCAACATTAACATTTTATGCTTTTGAGGACCCACTGTAACCTACAAGTTGTAATGCACATGCACCGTATGAAAAGCAGGTGATCGCTGTGTCAGTTACATATGTCATATGGTTTATTAGGAACTGAAGGCATGCAGATGGTGTAAATAATCTTCCTTCTGAGTTTAATTTAAATTTTAGATGTTTTAAGAACTCCCCCTTGTATGTCAGCACAGTGGCCATGCTGATCAGGGGGAGCCGGGCCTCTGCACAAACAAGGTAAGTATATCCTCATAACTCACTGTATTTAAAGTGATTTTCAAGCAATTTGGTTTCTTAAAGATGCCAGAACAGTATTTGTGATCAAGAATACGTAGTTTGATTTAAAATGCAGCTTTCGTACTAATATGTTAAAACAAATTAGGACTACCTGTGAAGACACTGCTGACAAGCGTCACGCAATGTCACTGAACAGCCACATAAAGCACCATTACTTAATTTAATACAGGTTTGTAAACAGCTTCGTAAGAAAATAAGGTCTTACATGTTGATCGTTATTTAGTTTCTTGGATTTAATATTTATTTTATTCGAATTTTGAAAGCAGTACAATTTGATATTTTCTACTTGTTATTTTCAGAGCCCAAAGTCAGAGTCCCTGCACATGATCTGCGTGTGGACGTACACGTCCATGAACACGTCTCTGTGTGTGGACGTACACGTCCATGAACACGTCTCTGCGTGTGGACGTACACGTCTGCGTGTGGACGTACACGTCTGCGTGTGGACGTACACGTCCATGAACACGTCTCTGCGTGTGGACGTACACGTCTGCGTGTGGACGTACACGTCTCTGCGTGTGGACGTACACGTCTGCGTGTGGACGTACACGTCTATGAACACGTCTGCGTGTGGACGTACACGTCTATGAACACGTCTCTGCGTGTGGACGTACACGTCTATGAACACGTCTCTGCGTGTGGACGTACACGTCTAGGAACTCTCTATATACTTGAGTCTCATCAGAAACGCTTTTTCAATAACCTAAAAAAAAGAAGTCTAATCAACTTAATACTGCTATCACCTGCATGAACCTGCACAGACATGCACACGTCATCATATTCTCAGAATAATCTGATTCGTGAAGATGTGATGTTATATATGAAAGGTAATCGGTAAGGTGATAGAGTCTAACTGCACGTTGCAATGATCTTTAATGTTGGTTGGATTAAACTCATACTGACCTCACAGTTTCACACCAGGAACAGACAAAACCTGTATTAAACCTAAACTCTTCTCAGGTGAATTGAGTCCTTGTTGGTGCAGCTCTCCTTAAAGACCACACCATGGTATTAATTTGAGTTCATCTGTGATGATCTAATGGAGATGCTTCACAGTAAATCAACCCCTGATAAGTCTCTGCAGCTACCCTTTGCTTTGCTCCCTTGTCTTCATTCATCAATCCCCGTTGGACTCAATGACTTTTTCCGCCAGAATCTCCTGGAAGGTCGAAAGCTGCTTCATCTGCTCTGTCTGCATTGAGTGTCTCCTCATCAGCTTCTTCTTCATCTTGAAGTCTGGGCCCCGTTTGGGTGAGGCTGGGGCTACTGGAACCAGGATCTTGTGTCCGGAGTTGATGGGGGAGGTGGGTTTCCCATTGGCCCGGATGTCAGGGATGGGTCTCTGCGGGTTGATGTTAAGCGGAGGCAAGAAGCCGGGCCTGGTGTGGGAGATGTGGTCCAGCAGCAGGGTCCCAGAGCCCCGGCGCTCCAGGAGCCCTGGGCCACGCCGTCGCATAGTGATGGGGGAAACTGAGTTGGGGATGTTTTCCAGAGACTCCCTGGAAGAACTGGTGACCAGGGACAAGGGGGAAGCGTTGTACCTCCTCCGTTCTACCGAAACCCTCCCAGAGTCCGGTGATCCAGGAATGGACTCTGGACAAAGGTGGGTATCTGACTCATAGTGCTCCATCCGTGTGAGCTTGGGGTGAGCTAGGGCTCGGGCCACAACTGTCCCAGGTCCAGCAGCGTTCTCCTGGGATTCTGGAGCTGTGTTCCTGCGGTAGAGGATCTGGTGCTGCTGCACTTTGTCAGCCCACGATGGACCAGACAGCCCTGCGCAGTCCTCAGAGCAGGATCGGTCAATGAGTTTAGGGGATGTGGGGTCGTGCGTCTCAATGCTGTGACGCCGTGACAATAGTGGCCTCACCGGCTCTGTGACAGTCAGTCCGTTCATCTCTGTGATCGTCTTGTTCAGGTTGCTGTTGCCCTCCTCCTCCTCCAGACCTCCATCCACCCGGTCCTGGGGAACCCCACTGAGAACCGAAGGTGCCACCAGACCCCACGGTTCTGAGTTCAGACGCTTAAGCAGTTTACGGGGAGGTGGCCTCTTCTCACCTGGAGGTCGAGCTGAAGGTAAAGGTAATGCTGAGGTGAGTTTGAAGCTGAAGATCCCTTCCTCATCTTTGTCTCCTGCAGGGGAGGAGGTGCCAATCTCCACCTCAGAGGGTGACATACAGGCAGGAGACAGTTTGTCCACAATGCCTGGGGATGGTGGGGAGTTGAGGTACTGTTTGGTCTTCTTGGTGCCTGACGGAGATGTGTCGGTGGTGATGATGATCACCTCCTTGCCCTTGGCCTTGCAGGAGTCCAGCAGAACCTGCAGGGTGTCACGGTCCCCTTTGTTGATGGCGTGGACAAGAGCAGAGGAACCAGAGTAGTCTTTGAGGCTGGGATCGGCTCCGTTCTCCAGCAGCAGTGACACCACCTCCTTTCCTGCCTGCTCTGCACAGGCATGCATCAGTGCTGTCCGGCCACTCTTATCGGGGATGTTCGGGTCAGCTCCTTTCTCCAACAGATACCTCACCATCCTCTGCCGGGTCTGTGGGTCATCGTAGCTTGCTAAGCAGGCAGCAGAGATGGGCGTCTCGCCACGCTCATTGCCCTCATTGATGTAAGCGCCACCCTCGAGCAGCAGGCGGGTCAGCCTCAACTTCCCCTGGAAGACAGCTTTGAGGAGGGCATTCCCCTCAGTCTGCAGGGGTCCTCCATCGCCCATGATCCCTTGCCTCTCCTCAGACCTCCTGCCCACAGGATGCTGGCTTAATGCTGAATCTCCATCCTCCTTGATAAGTTACATGACCTGCAGAAAAAGTACATTGAGGTGAGTCCACCTGAATAAAAAAAACATGCTAACATGATGGAACCAAAGATACTATTTAAATTCTATGGAGTTTTTAACCACTGATATTTATTGAAACTCTTTCTGAGTTGACGTCAGTAATAACTTCCTCATCCTATTCTCATCAATTCTGTTGTACATGTACAATGACAATAAAAGACTATCTTATTGTATTCTCCAAATCATCAATGTGACTTATAGACCTTCTTTCCTACAAGACTGCTCAAAGAATTCCTACCATTAATCAATACTTCAATCTTAAATATGTTCAACCTATCTCTGCCTTGAAGCTGGCAGTAGTAGGTTTCAGAGCTCATCACAGCACAGAAACAGCTTTACAGGGAGTGCAGAATTATTAGGCAAATGAGTATTTTTGCATTGGTGTTCGTTCTCTCTGCAGTAGAGTATCACTTCCTGTTCCTGTTCCAACACAGTGGTGTTTTTCCGTAGTATCTGTGTAGCAATTTAATACAAAACTTATAGTAACTTCTTATTTCGTAGTGTAATCTTCATGTGCGTCCTCTGAAACACACTCTTGGTGTATTTACTCATTAATTTATATTCATGATTCTGGGATGGGCAAAGGTCACTCTTATAAAATGTATTCCACGTACAGAGTACAACAATGTATTTTGACCAAATTGCATTTCTGTACAATTCCAGTCATATCCTCATCTCCGCCTCAACGATCTAAAACAGACTGAACAGTATAGTGTACTTCTGAATACCCGCGTCTCTCTTGGAGATTAACATTTAATTATGCATTTGATCCCTTGCCTCTCCTCAGACCTCCTACAGGATGCTGGCTTAATGCTGAATCTCCATCCTCCTTGATAAGTTACATGACCTGCAGAAAAAGTACATTGAGGTGAGTCCACCTGAATAAAAAAAACATGCTAACATGATGGAACCAAAGATACTATTTAAATTCTATGGAGTTTTTAACCACTGATATTTATTGAAACTCTTTCTGAGTTGACGTCAGTAATAACTTCCTCATCCTATTCTCATCAATTCTGTTGTACATGTACAATGACAATAAAAGACTATCTTATTGTATTCTCCAAATCATCAATGTGACTTATAGACCTTCTTTCCTACAAGACTGCTCAAAGAATTCCTACCATTAATCAATACTTCAATCTTAAATATGTTCAACCTATCTGCCTTAAGCTGCAGTAGTAGGTTTCAGACTCACTCACAGCACAGACACTTTACAGGGAGTGCAGAATTATTAGGCAAATGAGTATTTTGTCCACATCATCCTCTTCATGCATGTTGTCTTACTCCAAGCTGTATAGGCTCGAAAGCCTACTACCAATTAAGCATATTAGGTGATGTGCATCTCTGTAATGAGAAGGGGTGTGGTCTAATGACATCAACACCCTATATCAGGTGTGCATAATTATTAGGCAACGTCCTTTCCTTTGGCAAAATGGGTCAAAAGAAGGACTTGACAGGCTCAGAAAAGTCAAAAATAGTGAGATATCTTGCAGAGGGATGCAGCAGTCTCAAAATTGCAAAGCTTCTGAAGCGTGATCATCGAACAATCAAGCGTTTCATTCAAAATAGTCAACAGGGTCGCAAGAAGCGTGTGGAAAAACCAAGGCGCAAAATAACTGCCCATGAACTGAGAAAAGTCAAGCGTGCAGCTGCCAAGATGCCACTTGCCACCAGTTTGGCCATATTTCAGAGCTGCAACATCACTGGAGTGCCCAAAAGCACAAGGTGTGCAATACTCAGAGACATGGCCAAGGTAAGAAAGGCTGAAAGACGACCACCACTGAACAAGACACACAAGCTGAAACGTCAAGACTGGGCCAAGAAATATCTCAAGACTGGTTTTTCTAAGGTTTTATGGACTGATGAAATGAGAGTGAGTCTTGATGGGCCAGATGGATGGGCCCGTGGCTGGATTGGTAAAGGGCAGAGAGCTCCAGTCCGACTCAGACGCCAGCAAGGTGGAGGTGGAGTACTGGTTTGGGCTGGTATCATCAAAGATGAGCTTGTGGGGCCTTTTCGGGTTGAGGATGGAGTCAAGCTCAACTCCCAGTCCTACTGCCAGTTTCTGGAAGACACCTTCTTCAAGCAGTGGTACAGGAAGAAGTCTGCATCCTTCAAGAAAAACATGATTTTCATGCAGGACAATGCTCCATCACACGCGTCCAAGTACTCCACAGCGTGGCTGGCAAGAAAGGGTATAAAAGAAGAAAAACTAATGACATGGCCTCCTTGTTCACCTGATCTGAACCCCATTGAGAACCTGTGGTCCATCATCAAATGTGAGATTTACAAGGAGGGAAAACAGTACACCTCTCTGAACAGTGTCTGGGAGGCTGTGGTTGCTGCTGCACGCAATGTTGATGGTGAACAGATCAAAACACTGACAGAATCCATGGATGGCAGGCTTTTGAGTGTCCTTGCAAAGAAAGGTGGCTATATTGGTCGCTGATTTGTTTTTGTTTTGTTTTTGAATGTCAGAAATGTATATTTGTGAATGTGGAGATGTTATATTGGTTTCACTGGTAAAAATAAATAATTGAAATGGGTATATATTTGTTTTTTGTTAAGTTGCCTAATAATTATGCACAGTAATAGTCACCTGCACACACAGATATCCCCCTAAAATAGCTAAAACTAAAAACAAACTAAAAACTACTTCCAAAAACATTCAGCTTTGATATTAATGAGTTTTTTGGGTTCATTGAGAACATGGTTGTTGTTCAATAATAAAATTATTCCTCAAAAATACAACTTGCCTAATAATTCTGCACTCCCTGTAGTGAAGGTTACAAATGATCTTCTTATGGCCTCTGACAGTGGACTCATCTCTGTGCTTGTCCTGCTAGACCTCAGTGCAGCGTTCGATACTGTCGACCATAATATCCTATTAGAGCGATTAGAACATGCTGTAGGTATTACAGGTACTGTGCTGCAGTGGTTTGTATCATATCTATCTAATAGACATACAAGGTCTTAAATAATCAGGCCCCATCTTATCTTAATGACCTTGTAGTACCATATCACCCTATTAGAGCACTTCGCTCTCGCTCTGCAGGCCTACTTGTTGTTCCTAGAGTATTTAAAAGTAGAATGGGAGGCAGAGCCTTCAGTTTTCAGGCCCCT